GGTATTTTCCCTTTCCAGTCGGGCTGATGTTTTTTCCCTCTTAATATTTGACCTATTTGGATCTGTTTGCAGACTGTCACCTTTACTATCCTCTATATAATAAAATATACCTTCAGTCCATTTGTTTGGAGTGGAAAGTGTCTTTTACGTCTCCGATCGAATCCCCGAACCTCTCATAACAGTAATATAGAGTTAATAGCATCAAAATCACAGGCTTGTATTACACATGATAATTATTATCTTCTGTAAGATTACATAAGAATTCATATAAATTACTGATAACAGAGCATGGCACATAGTACATGCTCCACAAATGTCAGCTCTTACGAGAATGGGTTTAACGTTCCCTAGTAACTACTTACTGACAAAATCCAACTATCATTTTCCTTACTGGCTGGTACCCTTATAATTTCATCAATCAAAAGGAAAGATAACCAAGAGTCAGTGATTCAGGAATCTAAAAATTGGCCAGCAACTCTGGGGGTTCTTCTAGTTGGAACAGAATCAGTAATAGGAAGAGTCTCTTTTAATTATTCTGCTCAACGGTCAGGGCAGGTCCACCCCCACTCCCCTGGGGTCCCTGAAGGCTCATCATAAGCTCACTCCATTCCTCTGCAGAACACTTGTTGACTTGCCAAACAGTACCGGGTTTAGGATTGCTATGTTGTATCAAAAGAGTTTAATCTCTTCAAATCCGCTCCAGAAGTGATTTTTAAGTCATTTGTTTAGGGAAACATCAACGATATTGGAAACAAGATGGTTTTGGCATCAGAAGACCCAGGTTCAAGATTCTGCTTCTCCACTTACAAGCTGTGTGACTTTAGAGAAGTCACTGACCCTCAGCTCTGAAATGAAAAAGATAATAACACCTGCCCTACATTTTAGTGGCAGGGGCCATAAGACTCCTGGATAACAAGGACGAAAAGGTCTCATCAGATCTTTCAAGTGAAAGAACTGGGAAGCCATAAAGACATAGCCAATTTCAGCTACTATTATTATCATATTGCTTCCAAAATTCCCATAATGGGGAGCGAGACGGGAAAAAAGAAATTAACCAAGTCTATCTATGGACATCCCTCATGCCCCTAGCTGTAGCCCTTAGACTTAGTCCTGCCCTTGCAGTATAAGCAACGTAACTGCTCTGATTAGCTTCCCCTGTGTGGACACTGACTATTAGCCAGACACCAACAGCACTGAGGGGGTTATCGAGGGGGCCACTTAGGGAATGGCCACCAAAACAAAAAGTTGGATCTTTAATAGGTTAAGAGTCTCTGAACTCCCCAGTTGGTTTGGGGTTTGAGCTCTTTTCATAAAAACATGAAAATGCCAAACGATTTCAGACCCATGGTATTTTTAGCCCATATGCTGTTTCTGATTCTGATACCAAAGACACTGGCAGGATGTTCTGATAACTGTTCTCAAGGTTGAAGTATCCATCTAAATCAAGTTAACCCCATTCTATAAGTTCACTGCAGAACCAAGAAACCTTTCTAGAATCCTCTTGCATTTCAGCTGGCAGGGTAAGACACCCTTCTGGCACCTGCCCAATGGTGCTCTTCGTCCACTTTGGACAATGAAGTAGATAATCTGCCAAGGAGAGCTTCGGTCTCATGACTCTCCCTACTACTCCTGCCACATCCAAAAAAGAAAGAAAAAGTCTATATCATCTCAGGTCACACCTGAGGGCTGCAGAACTCTCTCCACATAAAGCTGGGAAGGAAAGAGCTGCCCTGTTATCGCAAACCAAGCAGGAAGTTGGTCATGTCAGAATCCATCCAGAGGCCCCAGTGGAGAAGGTCCACTGATTCAATGCATGCCTCTTTCTTTTTTTCTTACCTTTTCTTTGGCCCTTAGTTGGTCAAACATCTCCTGAATCTCATGTTTCCAGTCATCCTGCAGGCAGTGGAAGGAGTCCTTGGGCATTTCAAAGAAACCAGACTCCTCTATGGTAGTTAGCTGGTCCAGGATATTCGTGAAAGATGGTCGTGAATGGGGGTCGGGGTTCCAGCAATCTGCACAGAACATGTGAGTAGACAAAAAGCGTGAACGAACAGAGGCAAACGTAATACTTAAGATGCTACGTGACCTCATTTGCCAGAAAACTACTTCTCATTTCTCCTTCCAGAAACAGAGATTGGGAATTAGGTAACCCCAAACAGGGCACAGAAAGTAAAGCAAGCTGCCCAACATCCCAATCATAAAGAGTGAAATTGGAAATAAAAATGCAGTAGCGCTGCACCCATCCAATTCTACTGTTGACCTAGCATAAGGCAATCAAGTCCAGAGAGTTTTCTTGTGTGAAGTATGACAACCACAATTCTTCACGTTACAACATCACTCTAGTCCTGACAATGGGCAGCTACACACTGGGCCTCAACTTCCCATAAACCATGAGCTACCCTTCCCCCACTCAATGGGCTGATGAGAAGGCAAGGATAAAAAGCACCGGAGTTGGTGGCCGGCCCCGTGGCGTAGCGGTTAAGCGTGCGCGCTCCGCTGCTGGCGGCCCAGGTTCGGATCCCAGGCTTGCACTGACGCACCGCTTGTCAGGTCATGCTGTGGTGGCGTCCCATATAAAGTAGAGGAAGATGGGCATGGATGTTAGCCCAGGGCCAGTCTTCCTCAGCAAAAAGAGGAGGATTGGCATGGATCTTAGCTCAGGGCTGATCTTCCTCACAAATAAAAAAAAAAAAAAAGCACTGAAGTGGGAGTCGGGAGAAGTGAATTCTATCTACTTTCAGATCAGCCATTAACTAATGGAGTGGCCACCTGTCCACTTAACCTCTCTCAGCTTTGGATTTCTCACTTACAAAACTACAGGGTTTGACTAGATGACTTTTAGAGTTCCCTTCTTCTCAGATGTTCTTTGTTTCTATATGTAAGATGCTCAGAGGTCTTGAAATAAAAGCTGCTATACCTTGTTATTTCGTATTAAATAATAATGTACTGAAGTACTGGAGAGCAGGCATTAGTTATTAAGTCCTACAGTCACTGTAGATGGGCAGAAGGGACATCTGTGACATCACTGTAGCACGGTGCTGACATCACCTTGAAGTAGCTCTTCCAACCGCCCATAGGATTCCTCCTTGAGTGACTAATACTTCTTTAGTAACTGATCGTGCAGAATTTGCCAGAATCTATCAAGTGCTGATAGGAAGGTAAACTGTCTCCAGCTTTGTTCCGGACAGGTTTCACTTACCTTCCATGAGTTTGGCAAAAGGTTCTGGGCACGTAGAAGGAATGGGAAGGGCGAGCTTGTTCATGGCCACTCCATAAGCGACTGCTAAGCCATCGATTCCTCGGAAGGGCATCTCCCCAGTCAGGAGCTCCCACAGCAGCACGCCATAGCTAAGCGGAGAAGAAGACAGAAGCCACAGGATAAACCACGGGTGCAACTTCACTAGAATAGCTCATGAGGCTTTGCTGAGCATTGTCTCCAACATGTGGGGAGACTAACAAAGCAGACGCACTAATCATATAAAAGGGAGACCATAAGGCCTACTGGCTAAAAGCAAAAACTCTGGAGTTAGCACGCTTGGTTTCAAAGTCTTCTTCCTCAAAATCCTCATCTGTTAAGTACAAATAACACTAGCCATCTCACGAAGCTGTCATGAAAGTAAATGAGCTACTCTAAAGCAGTGCTCAATGGCCACAGCTATAGTGTTGTTGTTGTTATTGTTAACGTAATAAAGTCGAGAAGAGACAACCTCTCAGGAATAATTTTTTTCTATTTTAAGAGAACTTCAGCTTTCGTCACAGATCTACTTTTTTAGCTTTAGAAAAGCAGAGAGCTGACTACCCAAAACAAACAGATTTTGCTCCTATAAAAGATTTCTTTAAATGCCCACTAGGCTGAATAGATTCCTGCCCCCATCAGTGTGAGTGAGCCCTTAGCAGAGACGCGTGCCTAATTCAAAGGGAGAAGTTTCACAAGGGTGGCCTGCACTGGGTGAGGAGAGCGGTGTGTCAGCTGTGAGCGCTTCAGAGTTCCCTCCCTGCCTTTCAAGTCCACACGAAGAACTTTTCACACGTCCCGTGAGTCAGAGGATGGGGAGTACAAAGCTTAGGGGAATCTATGAATTCACAATCAGAACCAGGCAAAATCACCTAATGTTCAATCTTCAGGAATAAGTCAGGATGAGAAACCATAAGGCCATGAACAGTTGGAAAAGCAGCTCTCATATTTTCAACAGAAACCTCAAATTTTTTGTAATACTTATCAGTAGTTTACAATCAACAAAAACTCATATTAATTTAAAAACAATAATAAAGCCAGTATCTATTTTATCATGACACGTTGTACGTGCAGGTTGCTAAGACATTTGCAAACATCGTCTTGAATCTCTACAACAAACCTGCAAATAAGTATTATCATCATTTTGCAGATGAGGAAAGCAAGTTTTAGATAGGTTTAGCAGCATGTATTAAGGGCATACATGGAGTAAGTCATGATGGACCCTGGACCAAAGCCCAATTCTTCCTCTCTAGAATACCCTTCTACCATTTCTCTGCTTGATAAACTGTAATTGTCTTTCAAGATCTGTTTCAAATGCATCACCATTTCTGCATTCATTTTAAACACCTACTAAAGATTTACTATGCATTGGGATACAGCATAGATTCAGATCTTATCCACAAAGAGATTAGTGAGAGGAATAGAAAATAATCAATTAGAATACAGAGACATGAGTCACAACAGAGATACCATGAGGGCACAAAGGAGAGTCACCTAATCCAGACCAGGATGGGGGCAGAAGAGAGCTAAACCTGGACTGCCAAGTGAAGGAAGAGCCAGCGCTCCAGAGACAGGGATCAGCATGTAGAAAGGCATGGGCTTGCCTTCAAAGAATCCCAATGGCCTGGCAGGGCTCCAAAGAAGAGCAACGTGCAAACTCATGTGCCAGGGCATCTGGGAGGATTCCTAAAGATGGGCCCTGAGAATGGCCTGGCCAGTCTCCTTGGATAATGGCTTTACCCCAGTGAGCCCTCCAAATACTATTATGTTTTTTATGTATCTTGACAGAAAAGAAGTCTGGTAGACAGTTGCAGGTCTTGTCTTGTCTAGACAAGGAGTTGGATTGTACTCTGAGGCTGAGGGGAACAATGCTGGACACTTTAGGAAGCCTTCCCTGACACCCCCAGGTGTTAGTCAGCCCTTGTTTGGGCTGCCACGTGTTGTAGTTGTTTGTTTACCAGCCTATGTGGCTCCTAAAGGGCAGGGATAGTAGTTTTTAACCTTTGCATCCTCCGGGCCTTGCCCAGGCTCTGGGACATAGTAGCCTTTCATATAGAGAGTGAGCTGGTGGGTGGGTGTGGGAATGAGTGCACAGCCAGATGATCTTGCAGGCTGCACTGGCTCCCTAGAGTAGGCCCTGAATACCATCAAGAACGGCACTATTACACTTCCTGTCAAACCTTTATTGTGACTCATCCAGACAGTGGTCACGCTGGGCAGCTTCTACCAAGGGATCTCTCAGAACTCACAGCACTGCTGACTAGATTCCTAGGTGAGAGTGACTCTCATCTTCAGTTGCCTGCTTTTGGCATTACTGCCCACCTCCACCCTGGGAAACAAAAGCCCAAGGTCCCAAAGAAGCCCTTCCTTCCCTCCAGGTAAAGATGATTGGTGTCCCAGCCCTAACTACTTGGAAAGACAGTGGAGTGTTTCAAAGATCCAAACATGTGTCCTGTTTGTGTCCTCACATCCCCTCTCTGATGGTTTTCACACTGAGTACTAGGTGACCCATGGAGACGTCTCAGGCCACCTGGAAGAGGGAGGAGCCAGACACCCTACCCTCCCAGCTTCAATGAGGGCAGCTCTGCTCTCATCCGGCTTGTTTCTTTGTTCATTCTGCACTCCATTCCGTTCCATCTGAAGGGCTCTATAACTAGGAGAAATGGGAGAACTGCTGCTCAAGTGGGGAGAGAACTGCTGCTCAAGAAAGATGCAGATGGACTTGAGTTAAATGCCTGCATGACCACTTATAGCCATGTGACCTTGCGAAAGGAAGTTCACCTCTCCACATCTGTTTCCTCAACTGAACAAGCAAGACAGCAATCCCTACCTCACACAAGAGTTGCAAGGAATAAATAACAACTACTCCTCATCCAGGAACTACCACCTATGGCTAGTAAACACTGTGTGTTTCCCCTGGGAAAGTGTCTGGTGAGATTTAGGGAGAGCCCACAGCGTCCTGTGAGAGCCCTACCGAGGGACACCAGCATTCAGGGAAGAAGCCTTTCTGGGGATGACTGCATCAGTTACAGTTTTCCCCTGCCAATGTTCCTCTTTATTTTTGTAACAGCAGGTGAGTGATACAAACAAAGTCTTGGCATTCCTTTGGCAGGAAGAGAGTCCGAGAAGGGAACTGGGGAAATACACATGAGATGGGTCTGAGCCCCAGGGAAAGTGGAGCAGTACAAGTCCACGTGATTTACCTCAGGTTTTACTTTGTGGCCCTCCGAGGGTTGAGAGACGATCAAGAGGTCCTTCCAAGACCCTTTCAAGCAGCCTGGAAGCACCAGCTCAGCTAAAACTCTGCCTTGGTGTCCCTCTCCCAACAGGGAAACACCAGCTCCTACAGTGCTGCCAGTGATTTCCCAAGAGGCCTCAGAGCCTAACCCCAAACCCTCAGGAATGCAACCCGTGTCAATGATTAACCACCTCTAGAGGTGTCGTAATTCCTTCCAGCGTTTAGTAGGGTCAGAGGTAGGGGAGGGGTGTTTTATGTTTTTCAAAGTAAGGAAGAGCATCAGAGCGGAAAGTAAACCTTCCCAACCAAAGGCACAGCAATTCCACACCTGAGCTGGACCAGGACCTTTTCTTATTAACCTACATTGTCTCTAAGATGCACGCTCTGAAAGGAAAGGGTGTCCCTTGAATAAGCTCCTGCACTTGGTAATTGGCTGTAACCCCACATGCCAGGAGCCACACTGACTTTAATAATCTTTGGCAAAGACAAGTGAACGACCATATGCGAAAGCACTTTGTAAATTGTAAAGTAACATACAATTCTTCTTCTTGTAGTTAACCAGACCTCGTTCAAATGATGATATATTTATTAACATACACATGTAATATATACATTAATATAATTATTAATGTAAATATTTATTGATGTGGTAATATGCTCATGCTATACTATATTCAAAAAGCAGCTTACAAAACAGAATAATCCCATTTTAAGGGATGGGTAGATGAGCATGTGAACAGGAATAAATGCACCAAAATATCAATACAGGTTATCTTTACAAGTGGGCTATGGGTGATTTTCTTTTTCCTTTTTCTTTTTCTTTTTTTTTTTGATTATCGATATTTTTCTAATTTTTTTCTATAGTGAACATGTTTTACTTCTGTAATATTAAAAACTGAAAATGACTGGGGTTAGCCCGGTGGCATAGTGGTTAAGTTTGGTGCACTCTGCTTCAGCTGCCCAGATTTGCAAGTTAGGATCCCGTTCATCAAGCCATGCTGTGGTGGCGTCCCACATACAAAATAGAGGAAGACTGGCACAGATGTTAGCTCAGGGCCAATCTTCCTCACCAAAACAACAACAACAACAAAAAACTTTAACTGATTAACGAAATGTCTCCACTACATCCCACACAAAACAGGAAAGAAGTCATTGTAGGATGACGGCTCTCCCTGCACAGCACAACCAAAGGGAAAGATTTTGTCAATTACTCTTCTTGAGGTGGTCCAAATTCTAAGCAAATTGGGAAACTTACTTGAGGATCTGGGCCATTATCATCTTACCCTCCATCACAGCATGTGGAGGAGGCCCAGAGAACTACATTCAAAGAGCAGTAAGACAAACTCAGCTGGCCCTGGGCATCTGGCAACAGCAGAAGTCCAGAGGCCCAGATGAGTTCCAGGAGGGGAGGGGGGTTGGACTCAGGCTCAGCCCAGTACCTGGCACAGAGTAAGCATTCAACAAACATTTCTTGAACCAGTAAATTAATTACAAGTCAATTTGGGGACCAGCTTTGTCCCGAGTTCGTAGGCATGCTCCAGCCCTCTCTGGGATATCCTGCTGGGTCCCAGGCATGACGGGGCCAATCATCCTGGAAGAAGCTGCCCAAAGGGCGGGAACAAGAATATACAGAAGGTGACATGGCTGCAAGCACAGAGTTTCAAGAGACACATATCCAGTTGTAACCACAGCTTTACCTCCACCACCTGCGTGAACTTGGGCACCTGACTTACATCATCTAAGCCTCGGTTATCTTATCTGTAAAATGGAAATGATAATATCTACTTTGGGGGATTCTTGTAAGGAACAAATGAGATAAAGGATATACAGCATTCAGCATAGAGCCTGGCCCTTAAGCATCTGTAGGTGGTACATACTGTTACCACTGTATGTGTGTTGTACAAATAGCAATGGGCACACGTTTTCCTCTGGTAGAAGGTGTGAGATCACTTGGAGCCATCTAGATGAGTAGGTTTGAGGGGGCGGGATTAAAGGCCCATATAATGGGTTCCATAAATTGTGTCCTAGAAGGAAATGCTACAGCAAGGAAGCTAAGAAAGCTGGGAGGGAGCAGGGTGAATTATGTTTTCAAACCACGTTCATCACCCAAGCTGAGTCAGGAGGCTTAAACCCCAGGAACAATTCTAAACTAGAGACGCACCGACAGAGCAGGCCATGTGATAGTTTCCAAGACACTTCATCCAAAGTGCTGCTGATTTGAAGTTTACCTCCAAACTATTCCCTTCAGACAGTAGAATAACTTCATCAGATGCCTCTCACAGAAGAGGTTCCTGAAGCCCTCTTTCAGGACCTGTGGTCGAAGGGTAAGACCTGGACGTCAGCCTTGGAACAAGGATGCTTTGGGTAAAAGTTGAAAGGTCCTGCCTTGTTCCTTCCATGATGGACACACCCTTGCAATGGCCTTGCTCTTCCTTGTCTGCCATTTCTGTCACCATGACAGAGAAGACTCTAAGTTAGGCATTTGGGCTTTCCTTTCCCGCTAAGAATGTGCCTGGATACTGCAGGCAACTCTGTCCAAATCAATGCAGCAGCAGAAACCTTTAGTGTGTGACCATAAAACCTGAAAGATTTCAAAGCCAGGCTGGGAGAAGAGGCTAGCAGGAATATAGGAAGTAGGAAATAATCATGTTACTGAGACATCATGGTTTCCCACAAAGAAAGGTAAGATAAAGTTGAGTGTGGCAAGTGGCTGATTGTCCCCCCAAATACATTCTGCCCTTCTTCCATAGTAAGAGTTTTCGCTAGGCACACAGTTGCCCAGCTAACGCCTTTATTTGTCTGCCACCCTTGGAGCCAGGTGTGCCCAAATAACCTAGAGTAATGGGGTGCACAGAGGAAATGTGTACAACTTCTGGGTCGTCTCCAAATTAAAGACAAGCTGCTTGCCATAGATAAGCTCTCTCTCCCCATTCCCGCAGACTATAATGCAGAAGTAACAGTCACTCACATGTAATCATTCAGATAAGAACAATGCACTGAGGGATCCTGAAAGAACGTGGGTTCCTGAATGATCTCACAGGACACAGCTGCCCCATCAGCCTGGACTGGCTGGACTACTCCTTGAAAAAGAAATACACTTCTACCACATCTGTAGGTCTCTTTGAAATAGCAGCTTAGCTTAATTAACATATTAGCTAATCTCATTAGCCTATGGTCAAGCAATTAAAGTGTTAGGTTGAAGCATATGAAATTGCTGTTTTTGTAGGTCAACAACAGTTGACTATCAGTATACAGCTTAATCTAATGAGATCTGGTCAGATATTTTAAGGAAAGAAAAACTCATAATAGCCACTTCACCTTGTAATTAATGTGTGGGAAATAAGATTCAATATACAGAAGCTATAAAACATCATTGAAAGAAACTGAAGGAGGCCTACATAAATGTTCACGGATTGGAAAGCTTCATGTTAAGATGGCAATACTCTCCAAAATGATGTACAGATTTAACACAATCCCCATCAAAATCCCAGCTATTTTGCAGAAATTGACAAAATGATCCTAAAATTCATATGGAAATGCAAAGGGCCCAAAATGGCCAAATAATCTTGAAAAAGAAGAACAAAGTTGGAGGACTCGCACTTAATTTCAAAACTTACTATAAAGCTACAGTAATTAAAACAGGGTACTACTGGCATATGGATAGACACATAGATCAATGGAGTAGAATTGAAAGTCCAGAAATAAACCCTTACATTTACAGTAAACTACTTTTTGACAAGGGTGACAAGACAATTCAGTGAAGAAAGAATGGCCTTTTCAACAAATGGTGCTGGGACAACTAGATAGCCACATGCAAAAGAATGAGGTTGGTCCCCTACCTCACATCACATACAAAAATCAAGTCAAAATGGAACAGAGACCTAAATGTAAGAGTTAAGATTATAGAACTCTTAGAACAAAACATAGGTATAAGTCTTCATGACCTTGGATTAGGCACTGGTTTCTTAGATATGACACCAAAAGCAGGCAATCAAAGAAAAAATAAATTGGACTTCATAAAAATTAAAAATGTTTGTCTTTCAAAGGACACCATCAAGAAAGTGAAAAGAAAACCCACATAATGGGAGAAAATATTTGCAAATCATATATCTAATAAGGGATTTGTAACCAGAATATATTAAGAACTCTTTCAATGTAAAAATAAAAGGACATATAACCGAATTTTTCAAATGGCAAAGGATTTGAATAGACATTTATCCAGAGAAGATATACAAATGGTCAATAAGCACATGAAAAGATGCTTAACATAATTAATCATTAGGGAAACACAAATCAAAACCACAATGAGATACCACTTATTATCTACTAGGATGGCTATAATCAAAAAGACAGACAATAACAAGTGTTGAGGGGATGTGGAGAAATTGGAACCCTCATACATTGCTAATGGGAATGTAAAATGGTACAGCCATGGTAAAAAACAGTTTGGCAGCTCCTCAAGAAGTTAAACACAGGGGCCAGCCGGGTGACATAGTGGTTAAGTTCACGTGCTCCACTTCAGCGGCCCAGGGTTTGCAGGATCGGATCCTGGGTGTGGACCCAAACAGCGCTTATCAAGCCCTGCTGTGGTAGGCATCTGACATATAAAGTAGAGGAAGATAGGCACGGATGTTAGCCCAGGGCCAATCTTCCTCAGCAAAAAGAGGAGGATTGGCAATGGATATTAGCTCAGAGCTAATCTTCCTCACCCAAAAAAAAAAAAAAAAAGTTAAACATAGAATTACCATATGACTCAGCAATTCCACTCCTAGGTATGCACCCAAGAGGACTGAACACGTATGTTCACACAAAAGCTTGTACAAAAATGTCCATAGCAGCATTATTCATAACAGCCAAAAAGTGGAAACAACACAAATGTCCATCAACTGATGAATGCCTAAACAAATTGTGGTATATCCATACAATGGAATATTATTCAGCTATAAAAAGGAATAGAGTACTGATACGTGCTACAACATGCATGAACCTTGAAAATATTATACTAAATGAAAGAAACCAGTCACAAAAGACCACCTACTGTAAGATTCCACTTGTATGAAATGTCCAGAGTAAGCAAATCCATAGAGACAGAAAGTAAATTAGTGGTTACCAGGGGCTAGGGATAGGGGAAATTGGGAAATGACTGCAAAAAGATATCGAGTCTTTTTGGGTGATAAAAATATTCTGGAAATAGACAGCGATTGCAGTGGGTTGAACAGTGGCCCTAAAAAGATATGCCCATGTCCTAATACCCAGAATCCTTATTTGGAACAGAATTCTCCCTCCAGAATCTGGAGGGAGTGTGGCCTTGCTGACACTGATTTCAGACTTCTGGCCTCCAGACTATAAATTTCTACTGTTTTAAGCTACCAGGTTTGTGGTAATTTGTTACAGCAGCCCCAGGAAACTAATAACAATGGTGATTGGTGTAAAATTTTGTAAATTTACTAAAAACCATTAACTTATACATTTTAAAGGGTAAACTTTATGGTATGTGAATAATATCTCAATAAAGTTGTTATTTAAAATACACACACACATACAAGCTCATTTTACAACACATCAGGAAGTAACGACTTCATAGACTAAAGTACATGATAATCTATCGTCCTTTCTTTTGTAAACCAAGGTGATGCTACCATCTCACAGCCATGAGGATGTGAGATACACTCTGTAGAGGCTCATCCTCCCATCAGACAGGACAGGATTTTTAGATCCATGTCCTTGCGACCTCTTGGGCTGACATTTACTAGAGGGATGGTTGGTCTAGTCTGTGACTCTGCAGTTCTGGGGGCATCTTGGGACCCATCTTTACCCAACATCAATTCTATGCAACCTCAATTCTCCAAGTCCTGAAGTACGTGTGCAGCCAAAATAGACCTGGGGAACACTGACCCTGCACCTCCGGACCTTACCTCCACACGTCACTGCCTTTAGAAAACATGGAGGCACGAATGACTTCAGGTGCCATCCAAGCATATGTCCCTGCCGCGCTCATCTTGGTGGTTCGGTGCCATTCCCGAGCCAGGCCAAAATCAGTGATCTTCAGAATCTTGTTGCTCAGGTCTCCATTCTCCACCTTCTGGAGGATCAATACTGGGCAAGGAAAGGAATACAGAAGAAACCAGAGAGTCTGCATTAATCACAGGGAAACCTCCAAATACCGAGCCCTCCGGCCATCCTCTCGTCCTCTCCTGCAGGCTCCATCGTGCGGCTACCATGGCTTGTAGGAGCTATCGTTCTTAAACACCTGCGATGCATAAATTTTTGCACCAAGTATTTTATTGGCATTATCTTTAACCCTCCCAACAACTTTACGAGGTAGATACTATTGCCATCTCTGTTTTACAGATGAGGAAACTGAGATGCAGCACTGTTACATAAATTTTCAAGGCCATGCAACCAATAAGCCAGGACTGAAACCCAGGCAGCCAGACTCGCGAGCCTTCTCCGTTACCTGTATATCACATGGTCCATTCACACCCTAGGAAAGAAGAGCTGTGAGGTCACAGCTAATCCTTCTGAGCAACAGACACTTGGGCTTCCCATCTGCCAGGGCACCCCTGGGCTATAACCACTCTCAAACCACAAGGAATGGAGGTGCCTGTTGGATTTTCAAGGTTTCAGATAGTGTCTGGACAGTTTCCACGAACCTCTCCAAGTTACTTTATTTAAGCTCTTAAGAAAGCACGTCTTTTGGGCACAGAGATTTCCCCTTAATCCAGGAACTCACCCCCAGCCTTTGAGAACTGGCTGACAAGTAGGAGAGGTCAGAGGGCACACACACATTCACACCCACGATGTTCTCTGTGAACATGGCCCAGGAAGGAGGAACTAGGGCACTGAACTAGTTATACTCTGGGCTCTGTCTCCTACGTTCCAACGCCAAAGCACTTCAGCATGGGAGCCATCCTGTCTCTCCCAGGACAGCAGCTGAGGCAGCCACCTCACCCACGTGCTGGTGCCAGCGGTAACTGTGCCCTCGTGGGAGCCTATCTCCCTAAAAAGAGCAAAAATGCAAATTGACTGAAGTGCTGTAAGCTAAGTCAAGGAACTCTGCCTCAGCGGGCAGCTGGTGAGCTCCCTGGATTTGCGGAAGCCAAGCCTCCACGCTCACAAGTGCGAAGGTTCCAAAGGCCCTGTGCAAACACAACCTCTTATGGGCCAGACGCTGAGCCACCTGGAATTCAGAGCTCGGTACACACGATTTCAGGAAGGAAGAAAGATTCTCTCTGCCGTTCAAGTCCAAATGGGGAGGGAAAGGGGGGGATTTTAGAGGAAGAGCCTTAGGCAGGTCCCTCAAGTCACACAACTGTACTTTCCTTTTCCTGCCTCCCCAACCCCCCATAAATGTCCACTGAATTGTTACATATTGAAAGGACAAGGGCCAGAGATTTCTATGTCCTAAGTGCTTCTGAGAAAATCAGCAGTAAAGAGGGATTACAAGCAGCTATAGGGCTGGGAGCACAAAATAAAACAGTGCTAGCCCCTCCCTACATCTAATGGACTAAGTCTCCTTCCTCCATACCCTCTCCCCGACTCCCCTGACACACACTCCCACGCCGAGCTTCCAGCACCCCGAATGGGTCCAGGCCTCTGAATGCTTGGGCAGACTGGAAAAAAAAAACATTCTCCATCTTGGGTCTAATAACAAAAATGTTTCTAGATTCTTCTGTGCCTCTCTCCTCGGGCAGAGATAGACATATGCACTCAGATTGCTGAGCAAGTGACATTAAAGAAACCAACCGTTCCTTCTACAGTGGTGGCCACCAGCTCCCGATCATTTCTCTCTGGGCCGCCCTTAAACTGGAGATTCGGAGTGAACCCTTCTCCTTACACATCCAGTGGGGTTCAGTCCTGTCACTCCAGACCCCAGACGGCTGGGACAGGGTACGGCAGGGGGAGGATAACAGTTTCATGATACTGTATGGATCCAGCTGAGCTTCCTCAGATTCTATGCTGGAAAGGGAAGTGGAGAGGTTTAGATTCTGTTACAGGAAATAGATTTTTAGAAACTGAATGGCATACTGAAGATGATCTTTTATTTTTTTTTAAACACTTATTTTTTTTTAATTTAATTTATTTATTTATTTTCCCCCAAAGCCCCAGTAGATAGTTGTATGTCACAGCTGCACATCCTTCTAGTTGCTGTTATGTGGGACGCGGCCTCAGCATGGCCGGAGAAGCAGTGCGTCGGTGCGCGCCGGGGATCCGAACCCGGGCCGCCAGCAGCGGAGCGCGCGCACTTAACCACTAATCCACGGCGCCGGCCCTTTTTTTTTTTTTTTTTTTAAGATTTT